TTATTTTCCACTTTTCTTTGTTCCCTGGATAATTTAAAGTCGTCGGGCCCTCGAAACTGTTTCACAAAGAAATATTTTATTATTTAAAGTCTTTAAAGGTCGTAAAGTTTGGGAAAATTAGGTGTAACCCCTGGAAACAGTGTGACAAACAAAACTGTGTTATAAACGTTTTCAATCTTCCCGCTTGCAGCTGCAGGAGCAGGTCAAAGACTCGCACGTGTCCGAGATCATCGACGTGTACGAACAGAAGCTGGTCGCGTACGCGGTGAGTACATCAGGCCTAAGAACAGCGATGAACACTGCTGTAACGTTGCAGACGAGTAACCACGCAGTTTAAAAATCTGTCACATGTTTGCAGTTTGTTTGTTTTTAACCGAAGCCTCTGCAGAAGCATTCAGACTTTATCTGGATTTTAGCATTTCTGTATCTGATGAAGGTTTCTGTGCGTCTCCTCCTCAGTCTAAGGAGAGCCGTCTGCAGGACTTGTTGGAGGCGAAGGCTCTGGCTCTTTCTCAGGCCGACCGTCTCCTCGCTCAGTATCGCCTTCAGAGAGCTCAGGCTGAGGCTGAGGTAACATGTTGTTATTGTTTTTATTCTTTCCTTTAGATTTTGATAATACGCTGTTTGCAGTGCCAGCTTCTTAAATGTGAGGATCATGTGCTTTATCTTTATTGTGATGTTACAACATTAAAAAAACATCATAACGAGCTATTTAAACTTTGTTTTTCCTGTTTTTTTCTCACATTTTGTGCTAGAAGATTAATAGTGAATAAATACATTTAATTACGAGGTTTAATGCAGTCCCAGGTTGTAGTTTGCAGATGCACTGCGTCACGCTGTCCGTGCCAAATGCTTTTCTGATGTTAAATGTGAAGCAGTGTCAGTGTGAGCACCTCCTAAAATCATTAAATTAAATCAAGCCATGGAAAAGTTCATCTTTGCTTAGACGTGTAATCACTGATCCTCGCTGTTTTTAGTAAAATCCACTTTTCCTGTATGTTCATTTTGC